GATATATATATATATATATATATATATATATATATATTAATTATGTGTGTGTGTTTATACTAAGATTTTATAAGAGTTTAAAGTTGTTTTTATTAGCTAAGCAAAATTTTGAGAACGAAAAAAGCTACATGACATTTCTTAGGCGGCGTTGGTTTCACATTTAATGATATTTGTTGGAGTGAAATTATTAAGAATACTATTCTCATCAAACATATTTGATAAATACTTGTAATTTCTAATAATAAAAAATTTAATGAAAGTGAGAAGTTACTTGGAGAATAATCTTCATTCCCGGGAAAACATTTCCAACCTTTCACATTGGAATAAAAAGAGGGGTAAAATTATGTAATATAGATTTCTAAGAATAAATAATGTCTAGGCATGTTTTACTATAACTTGTGTTAAACATGAGAATGTTAATTCCAATACCCATATTCTTGGGAATAATTTTGTAAGACTTGAATAAACACACTAAGGATTTGCTATAATAAATTTTATTAGTAGTTTCATTATTAGATCAATCTTATAAATAGTTTACAAGTTAAGTCAGATTTTCAAAAAGTTCAAATCAAACTTAAAACGTGAACATATGAGAAATAACAAGCCAAACTTGGATCTTGAGTTTTTTCTCAAATTGGTTAAACTTATTTAAGCAACACCTTCTTCAACCAAACCTATTTCTACAACCAAGCACAAATATTAATTTGACACATTTTATTACGTTTTATCCCTATTACATTTATATTTTTCTCTTTTCCTTTCTATTGGTGTAGATAAACATTAATTTGTCCACAAATTATTCAAAAATATTTCTCAATTGTTTGACTGGTCTAGTACGAAGAAAGACATTTTTGTTTTTATTTGCCTTTAAGTAGTTGATATAATAATAGCCTTTTTGTTTTTATTTGCCTTTAAGTAGTTGATATAATAATAGCCATTAAAAGGCGATGCAATTAATATTCCTTTATTTTTACCAATCGCATTCACATCATTAATGATTTTAGATATTCCTCTAAAATTACTCCTATTTAAACAATTAAATGTGTCAACGTTTTTTTTAAAATATATTGAAAAGTTTATAAATGTACTTTATAAAATTGTTGTAAGTAATTAAAATTAGAAGGAATTTTTTTACTTCACGAATAAGTCAATAAATCATGTTCTATATCAAATTTCAACAATTCAATCAATGAATTTAAAATTTTTAATGCATAGATCAAAAAGAAAATTTAAAAATCATTTGATACTTCATTTCATTAATTCAAATTGACGGATAATCATAAAATCATTTTATACATTAATTTGAATTAATGAAACAAAGTATCAAATAATTTTTAAATTTTTTAAAAATTTACAGATTTAATCTATGCATTAAGAATTTTAAATTCAACGGTTGAATCACTAAATTTGATGTAAAACATGAGTTATTAAACAGACGGGAGTAAAAGCATTCCTCCCCAATTAAAATATAAAAAAAATAAATAAATAAATAAAAAAGGTTAACTTATACATAAACGTTTACTCGGACATGCGCCGGTGGCATAAAAGAAACCAGTGCAGCAGCTGAAGTAAAATGAGCATAAGAATACTCAACAATCAATATCCCTTGATAGTTCATAAAAATAATTGAAAAACAATGTTTCTTCTGCTTAGAAAGGTTAGATACATACAATTACAATGCAGAAACCTTAATTGAGATACAAAATCATTTGCTGATATGAACTGTGATTGCCAAGAAATCTTCTCTGACAAATTAATTTGCTCCAAGAGAAATTCCACTTTGCCCTAAAGAAAGTCCCTCCCCATTCAAAGGCAATGTAAACAGATGCAAATTGTGCTTACCATTCTGATTCTTGGATTGTGATGCAAGGACAACCGATCACTGCAACAAAAAGAAAAAGGTTAATTTTTCACAGTTAGATATTTGGCATCATTGATTTCATCATTTTACATTTAAGAAATTTAAAATAAGAACAAATAAAGAAAAACCCGGTTACTAGCCTAATAAGACATGCCGTCATTGCTAATGTTTCAAGGATAAATGGAATAATAAATAAATAGGTCTAATTCTAAAGTACACAAGTGGCAATCTACAGCCAACAATGCGTGTTAAAAGTTTTGAGATAAAAACCAAAGAGAAAAGATGAGAAATATGAAATACAAAATTGTCATTTTCAAAGAGATTAATTAAAAAAATAAAATAAAATAAAGAACACAACTGCGACAAGTTAATACTCAACAGTCAGCATATTCAGTTCATAAGTAAACAGCAGAGACACAATTATGGATGGAGTAATAAACTAAAAGCAAACTTAGAGCTTTCAACACGTGGAAAAACAAGATCAATTGGATAGAGGTTAGGGCTTGCAAACCTCCTTAATAGTTTTCCATAATTTACAATTCTTCTGAAGAGCTCCTTAGGTGCTGCAAATGCAAAATAGAATCAAAGAAATGAGAGATTTCAAAATCAATTGGATTAATAAGGTATAGACCAGGGAACCAGGATCAAAAAATTACATGAAACTCGGTACATTAAATTTTTTTACATTCAGCTTACCTGGCAATCCAGTGAAATTCTCATACTGTCCATATGCTTGCCCTAAAAACATCTCAAATCCTGTTACAATAGTGGCTCCTGATTCTTCTGCTTCGTTCAAGAGTCTGGTCATCTTGGGCGTGTAGATAGCATCAAAAACCAGGGAGTAATATTTCAAAGCAGACTGCAAAAAAAAAAAAAAAAAAAAAAAATGAATGAAATGGTTCTCTAGATTTCAACTTACTCATGTTCCATATCATGAGATTTTGTGTCTTCGTACAAGAATGAGAATATTTTTTCCGGCCAAGTCTTTGGCATTTTGTTCAAGTTAAATTCAACTGCATAGAATAAAAAAATCCTCGAGTGCATTGATATGTCAAACCAAAAGGTCAAAGTCACAGATAAGACTTTAGAAGCATTTTGGCATAATTAATCAAATCGATTCCCTACTCTGTTAAGTAGGAATAATCAAACGGTAATATAAAAAATAATTTTAGTGAGGTCAAGTCATGAAATAGGCCTTTTCATACACCAATAATCATAATTCATCTGAATAGAAATCCAACTTCATTAGCAAACTGCCAAACTGGAAGTAGATATAACATACTAAGTTCAAAACTTCCACCAACAATATTTCAAGGCCTGAAGGCCCTAATTGGTATGGCACATCCATATTAAAGGAGCAAACCTTAGAAATAGGTGTCTCATCAACTTTTGGTTGCATTCCAATTGATGTTGTGTTTGCAAGAATCATATCATCCTCCGGATGGTAATTACCTAAATCAGCAAGCGCTAAAGCGTCTCCTCCAATTATATCAGCAAGTTCTCTGGCACGGTCTTTATATGAATAAATAAATATAATATGTCATTAAATATGATTAACAGACGACAGGAAATAATAGTTAAGATTGTTTCTGTTAGAAAAGCTATATGCCCATACAGTGAATGAAATATACTTATTAGAGGGACAAGCAACATCATACAATATATCAGTAATTTAATACTGCTTTGTAAGTAAGAAATCATTTCCTCGATTATATACCAGTAACTAATTGATTCTCTCACTCTAACATAGATAGACACACATATGCTATTATCCAAAACTTATATAAAAAAAATTGCATCCATGAGAGTCATAATGAACCAAACAAACAAATCTACTTATATGAGAGGAATACAAAATATATTAAAAAGGGAATTACTATTTAAGAGAGGACTGTTAACAGGAAAAAGTACAGAAGTACACACAAGGGTGAACAAAAGATGAACAGCGAAACAGGTTAGACATTACCATTAACAGAATGCAAGTTATTTTGTTCAGCTCATGATCTAGATATCAGAAGAAATAAAACCCAAAGCAAATAATTGAGATGCTTCAAACCACTGTAAATGTACCCAAAATGTAACTTTTACTAAAATGACTTTTCTCTTCTGACCAATAATTGTCTTCATGAGACATTTCTCATCCTTAAGACCACTGTAAATAATTGTCTTCATGAGACATTTCTCATCCTTAAGACCACTGTAAATAATTGTCTTCATGAGACATTTCTCATCCTTAAGACCAATATTAAGAATTGATCACATTGTCGGCTATCTCCTACATACGGTGTTTTGTCAACAAAGTCCAGGAAGAAACTATCACAATTCAATATGATTCAACTTTAAGCAGGAAAATAAACCATGAAGCTCACCATAGGTGCGGTTAGCAATCACAACCCTTGCTCCTTTCTCTTTTGCACCATAAGCAAGTGCCTTCCCAGCTCCACCAGCCCCAATAACAACAAACAGCTTACCAGCTAATGGCGAAACAGCTGTGCTACTACCATTTTGTTTACCTGCCAAGAAATGATTGAAGTATACACCATCTTCAGAATAACAGTTACCGACAACAATGACAGCAGAATTGCATAGGCACCAAACATGACAACTACCTCGTAACCCATCCTCAATTGCAGAAATAGCACCAACATAATCCGTATTATACCCAATCAACTTCCCATCAGTTGGTCTTCTTATAACACAATTCACAGCTCCTATTGACTGTGCTCATAACCAATTTGAAGAATTTAGAAAAAATGAAGCAAAACATTTATAATTATCGATCCAAGATTGTCAAACACACATTGTAGTGCAAAGTGAATCCATTACCTTAGCCACTGGATCAACCTCATCACAGCATTTAAGTGCTGTCTCCTTGTGAGGAATGGTAACACTGAAATACAAATACTAAAGATCAAACTCAAGTAGTTTCCTGAGAGTTTTAACTATCCTACTCAGAAGAAAAAAAATGACTGAAATAGAATGATGAAAAAAGAAAAGGGTTTAAATGCATAATTATGAGACTGAGTTCAACAATAGAACTATAGAAGATATTAATAGAAGGGAAGAAAACCAAGAAACACATATATAAGGTAACTTAAGCATTTAAGCAAAGGTTGACGTGTTACATAATATAAAGAAACAGCTTCACAACTGCTCAACTCTTCTTACTTGCATACGCCTAGGGCATAGACACCTAGATTTGAAAGGACTACAAGTCTACAATTATATGTATATGCCTCAACTAAATAGATAGCACTAATTATATACATACATATATATATATATATATGTAAGTGTGTAAAACAGAATGGCATACCAAACGCAGTACAATGACTACAGTCATTGGCCAGCTGATTAGAAATGTTAAAGAAATATCCATCAACTCAAACAGTTATGTAAATAACACGGAACAGGCGTCACAAATTCCAACTTCAAATCAAATTAATCATTAAATGATTTTATGACAAGGCATAAAAGATTTTACATACTTATTAGATTTGTCAAATAAATGCTTGAGCTGTTAAAATACTTTAACAACCCTTTCTATGTCAGAAATGGTACAAAATGGAATAGTAAGCTTATTATAAATATCCTCAACAGTCAACACTTGGTATAACAACATATCAATAATCCAAGCCACAAAAGACCAAACAGTAGACTTATAGCTTATTTTGCATACATAGATCTTTAGAAAATTGAGGAAAGATTTCTATCATACAAAAAAGAAACTAGAACATGTTACCATAAAGTGACCATAGCAGCCACAGAAAAAGCATCTAAAATTAGATTATAAAAATTCAAAAATCTTCAAAAGGAGTTGGAACCTGAATCCCACAAAATCTGTTGAAGAATAAGCCCTGAGAAAATTGGCAGGGTCATCCACCAATAAAAATAAATAAACACCATCAATACCAACTGACTTGAATGCTTCATTGAACAATTTGGGTGATTTACTGTGACCGACAGGCTTTCCAATAAGCCCATATACTTTAGTATCAGGCCCCAGTTGTCTCAAATTGTATAGATACAATAGATCCTTAAGCGTAGGTTGACCAGGAGCTGAAATTACTCCTGACTCAAGGGTACCAAAAGTGAGATATCCACCAAATTTTGCACAAAGTATACGAGAAATCAATCCCCTATCACCCATAACAAGTCCAATAAAAGGAACCTGGAAATAAAAACAATAGTTATGGTAAAATTATTCATTCTCATACAGAAAGCCTCAATATAGTAACAATAAATTTCAGTGTTACCAATCAAAACATAACTAGAACCAGAGGGTCATTTCTTGAAGGGTCATGTGACTTGAAATTAACAACATTACGTTTTAAGCATTAACATATGAGATATTCAAATAGTCCAAATGTATTGGAAATAATTGGATAGTTGTATGCAAAGGCAGGGTGTTGCACAAATTCTTTCTACTACCATCATTACATGGTTTTAAATTGTTGAGAAAAACATTTCACTAAATTTACATTGGTTGCCATTGCATTGGCCCCTATTTCTTCAAAGTTCAGATATGCACCTTGACAACAATTTTGACCTGTCTTCCTCAATTGATCTTCCTATCAATTTCGTCTTCACCATACACTAATTAAATTTGCTAATGTATAAGGTCAATAGTTTATAAAAATTAAAAGACAAAGTGTATATGGAGTTAAAATTTTGTTCGAAGTTTCAATTACCAAACATACACGCCTTACTTGAGAATGCACCATTATTTGAAACATGCGTGCTACATCAGTGATGTCCAAGGCAGTTGTTGCAATCTTCACAATGTCTGCCCCCGTTGCTTGTATTCTTGCTACAAGGTTGCCAAGATCCTCAACTGAAGGAGTAAGCTGATAGTTGTGAGATGAAACAATGACCTTGGTTTTGAATGACTTCCCACGTATAGAGTCAAAGAACTGATGCGCTACCTTTGGAGATATGGCAGAAATATAAATGTTTCATTAAGTTTCATAGTTCAGACATCATATAGCAAATAATATGAAGACAGTATCTGGCTTTAATCAAATGAGGAGAAATGTTTAAATAGCCAAGAAAAACAAATTATTTTCCCTCAGATTCACTATCTGATATTTATATATACAACTTTGATTATCAATATCAATATATTAGAAAAAAGTTACAGCAATTCAACCTGCAGTTGAGTTTACTCAATGCTGGATGCTACTAGGATGAGATATATCCTAGTGCTTCCATGAGAATCACACAGATTTAAATTTAACCATAAAAATAAAACAATAGAGAAAACAATCAAAAGGTACCGTTGGGATACATATATTCTCTCCCGCGTCATCAAGATGAATGAGTGATTCACAATGCATGAAAGTGAAACTAGTAAATTAAGAGTGTATCACTTGAGAAATAGAATATAATAATAATATACTAAACAAACCACGCCATTGCAAGCACATTGTAGCTATTTATATTTCATACTCCACAGCATAATATATTGGCAAAACTAAGGTACTAGATTCAAACAAATTTAGTACAACAGAATTATCATATGAGCAGAACCTTCTCAAGGATTTGTTCATTTCAAGAGAACCCTCCCCAATTCGTCAGAATTGAGAAAAGAAAAATAACATTTTGGGTCATATTTCTAAGTGTTTACATTATAATGAAGATTTACATAGACAAAGAGAACACAACCTGAAGTTCAACATCAATGTAATCAGCTCCCAACTCCATAGCTAACCGTAGCGCATCCAACCGTTTGTTTTCATCACCATCATACTTACCACCCTCCCATTTGGGCCTTAGCAAAAAAGGTAACAAATTTCATCAATAACATCATGATGGTCAACAAATTGAGACTCAAGCACACGAATTGCGAGGTGGCAAACCTGTAAGTGAACAACAAGGGCAAAGGGCGGTGCTGGAGAAGAGTGTTGAGATCTTGAGAGGGGTCAAAGGTGTTCAAAGCGTCCAATCGAATTTCCACCACGTCAGCGCCAGTATCTTTGGCATTGCTGACGTCAATCTTCATCTTCTCAAGTGATTCCGCCATTGTTGGGGCACAGATTAAGGTTGCGTTCTTCCTGGATCCTCCATTGCTCGCTGATGGAGCAGAAAACTGAAGAAGAGAAAACGTGGATTGTTAAGATTGAAATTGAAGCATGGGAAGAGAAATGGAAGAGAAGAGAGAAATACTTACCAAAACGTTAGGGTCCATTGGTTGGGGAAGAATTGAGATGAGAATGGGTTTTGGGTAGGTGTGTTGCTGCCTCTGTTGTTCAAAAAAGGGGAAGGAAAGAGAGAGTGAGTAGTTGAAGTGTTTTTGGTTGGTAAATGGTTGGTTGGTGGTACAAGGACCCAAATATTTTGCCTTGTTAGATCTCCATTAAATAATATACTTTAAATTATTATTAAAAAAAACTAACTAATAAAAATTGGATCAATTTAGGGACTTTCATGTGGGTTTTTTTTATTTGTTGTAAATTTTGAACATTTAAGAAATTGTAATCAATTCACTTTGAAAATTATTTATGAAAGTTTTTTTTTAGAGTAAGTAAAAGTGTTTGAAATTGAGTTAAATTTTATTTTAAAAATTATAAACACCTTAGTAGGACACTTTTTTTTCTTTTTTAAGCTTTAATCTTGTTTGATAGTAGTTATATATTTTGTTCCCTCTGAAACCGAGGACAAAATGATATTTTGTTGTTCAAACCTAAAAGTATATTTATTAAATTAGTTAAGCATAATTAAAAAAAATGATTAAATTGATTCATTTATATGAGACTATAAGTGATCAATAAAGATCATTATACAACAAAAAATATATATCACAAAGAGGTAAAAATTCATAATTTAATTTCAAAATTCCATTAAAGTAAGAGAGGTCATGATTTTAAAAAATTAGAAAAAAATTAAATAAAATAGAGATAAAGGAAAAAAATAGAAAATTAAAGATAAATTATTTATTATTTTATATTAACACTTAAAAAAATTCACACAATAAAAATAAAAATAAATAAATAAATAATATATCCCATTTTCCTCTTTAAATATAATACTATTGAATTATTTTTTCTAAAATTAATGATATATTTTTTGTTAACAAGTGGAAAAATTGTTTATTCATCCATAATTATTTTACTTTTATCTAATAGATTTTTGATGATTTAATTATGTAATATTTTTTAAATTATATAATTTTTTTTTTATGCACTTCCAACAATGAGGTTCTGGACGGCCGTGCCACCATCAGAGCCGCCACTGCTTACAAGGATAAGCTGAGGTTTTGTTTATGAATATGTGAAACTTCCATTTGCAACAACTTTAGGGACATCTACTTGATTTTTTTTAATTTTAAGTCTGTTTTTTTTTTATAATTATGAATCCGATTTTTTATTTTAAATTTTTAAAAGTTTGAACAAACACGTTAAAAAGTTTTTAAAAAGTGTTTTAAATTAAAAGTAAAAAAAAAATTAAATGAAGGTCTTCAAATTATATTAATTTCTTTCTTTTTTTTCGTTACCAAAAAAAATATTCATTTCTTTTTGGTATGTCTGTAACTCTAATTTACATTCAAAATAAGACACAGTATTAGTTTAAAAACTAATTATTTATGATGGCCCAATTAAAAGTGCAAACTAAATCCATCCACACCACTCAAGTCAATTAACCCATTTCAACTGATCAAAAGTTTCCAACTATTAACCCATTTCAACTGATCAAAAGTTTCCAACTCAAAACTACTGCATAACCTGCTTCTCTCCTAGTAAGTCCATTTATATATTCTACGACCATAAGCAAATGATAGTCATATAGAGCATGAAATAGTTAAATGATCCCTTGAATATCTTTTATTTCTTGTAGCACATTTGTACCTTGTCACAATGTATAAGGTGGAACAAGAGAAGGGAAAGGAACTAGGAGGAGGATTTTTATTGGAGTGGAGGAAAGTATGGGTGGAGAAATTTTAATGAAGAAAATGAACACCTTGGTTGGTTTACAAAAGGGGAAAAGAGGGAAAGAAAATAAAATAAACACATCACACTTTGGGTGTTAAATAAAATTATTAGGATAATTTAATTCAATTAATGTAAGTTTTTTACCTTACAAAATTTTTCAATCTTAAAATAAGTTAAAATTGAGTGAAAAGAGATTTTAATTCCTTCTCTTCTTCAAAAGTTGGATTCCAACAAAAAAAATAATTTATAAAAATTTCCTTTTAATCAAATATTTTCTAACTCATTGCTTATTTTAAACAAAAATTCTAAATGAATGGTTGGAAATCTCATATCATCTAAAAATAACGTTATAATAGTGTATATAAATAGAGAATAATCGTCATTTTACAAGTTAGTTTTGAAAATTTAAGTTTGACTTTTAGCTCACTTTCTTAAGCTGAACAAAAAAGAACTAGGATAATAATCCTATTGATATTTAAACAAGACGAAGATGTTGTAATTTCATGTTTTAGAGACATCCTTAAGTTAATTGGTACTTCTTTTAGCTTTTGTTCTTTTCGATTTTCTTAAAAGTAAATGGTGGATGATATTCTGTAGTGCATTAAAAGGTAACATTTATGTTTCATACACAACTTCATGCACAAGATGGATCTACTCTTTTGAACCAAATCTTAATTATTTTTTTCCAAATCTATAACGCAATACATATAGGCATTAACTTATTTGAATGCTAAACATAAGCAAATTGATAAATATACATTAGTTTAGTTTATGAAGTTCTCTTTAAGGAAAGTCACACCTTAATAAATGTCATTCAAAGTACAAAGTAACAATCATAACCTTTTATTCACATCATTTCAAATTATGGTAATTTTAGTCTAGCAAGTTGGTACCAATACGTTAACAATAATTAAAGTTTATAAGCAGAGGTATTTTATGATAATGTGTAAAACACGAAGTAAAGATTATACATGGTCCTTATAATATCAGTATATATTCTATATACACAGATTGTTAGAAAGAGTCTCAAAGACTAGAAGCGACTCACAAAATGTCTTGGGTGTGTCAAGGTGTATGCAAGATTGGAAGATATTCTTGAGTCTCAAAGTTCTCAACCTAATTTTGATTTAAATATACCTTACACCGAAGCATATCAAACCTGAAACTATAAATTCGTCCTTTAGATGGGAAGGAGCTAAATCTTCTTATATCCAACTTCTAACAGTTGAAAATTTTTCTGACAAATTATTTGCATCCCAATCACTCAATTTTTATAAAAGTCAACCACATCTACATCATTTCATTCATTAGAGCTATCAAAATGGGCTAGTTCGATCCATGTGAGTTAACCCACCTTGACCCACTTAAAAAACGAACCAGTCTAACTTGACTTACTTTTGATTTTCCAAAAAATTTTCTAGCCCGGCTCGGCCCACCACGAGTTAGTGGGTCATACGAGCCAACCCACCACAAAATTAAAAAGAATACCAACAAAATTCAATTTTTCAAATTAACTATAAATTAACATAATTGTCATAAAATTAACATCATTAATAGCCATAAGTCATAACTCATCATGCAAAATTAAATACAAACTATGATAAAAGTCCAAAATAAAAAGTTTCAATGTTCCATCATACAAAAATTATAAACCATAATCAAAGTCCAAACTCCAAAATAAAAAGTTTCAATGTTTCATCCTACAAAAGTTTTGTAAAATAAACTTAATTAAAGTCTTGCACGAAAATGTCAATAACAATTTATTCTCTTTGCATATTCACTTTATCTTCGTCTACAAATAGGAAAAAAAAGTGTTAGGATGAACTATTGTAAAAATAAATAAGAAATTTCTCATTATAAAAATTACCTAATTCTTCAAAGTCATGCAACCAATTTTGAGTTAGAATGAGTAACTCCACATTTTCAAGAAGAATGGTAGAGCGATACTTAGTTAGCACCCGAGACCCAAGGCTAAAAGCAGATTCACTAGCAACTGTAGTGATTAGAATACTTAGCACATTACAAGCCAGCTGTGAGAGGTTTGACTAAGATCATGACAATCCCTACAATAAGCTAACACATCTAACTTTTCATGAAACTTTGGATTAAGATTTCCTTCCACCAAATATAGACCCAATTCAGATCTTCCATTAGTAGTAGCTTTTTGACTCAAATAATCAACATATTCCTAAGGCATTACAAAAAAAAATAAATTCAATATTCAATGATAATTACTAAATAAAAATGAAATTAAATAAAGAACTTTAAAAAATTATTAACTTACATCAAAGGTAAGTACTTGCTCATCATCTATTTATGAAAATTGGTTGTGGTGGAAGAAAATACACATTAGAAATTAAAGCATTTGACTCGTTTGATTTTACTTTCTCATACTCTCCAAACAATTTATACATTTTCTTTCTTAAAACTCTAATTTTCTCTTCAAAAATAGAAGGTTCAATTTTTCTATAAGCAAGCTGAATAACTCAAACTTCCTTTGTGAGTCAAGAATAACACAAATGGCAAGAATCTCACAATAATCATGCCAATACTTTGAAAATTTAGTCATCATTTTTGAAACTATCTCTTTAATCACTAGATCTTCACATATAACAAATTTACGTAACAATTTTTTAATTTTTTAAACTTGCATAAAGTACATATTAGATGTTGGATAAAAAATCTTAAATACACCCCAATGATCAAATCTTCAATGATAATATTCTTTCATCTATATATACTATATAATTTTATACACAATATCCAAATACTTTAATTACTCGTTGACTTTGATATCAAAATTCTATGAATATAATCGCTGCTTACAATCCAAAATACAAAGGACTTTGAACTTAATTTTTTCTACTAGTAATTCTTGACAACTACGATACAATTGTGATTATGATGTTTTAATAATGTTTTGACTACAACCTTGTATCTATTTGCAAGTGCTTGCAACAAGAAATAATACACTTGGTATGATAAAGGATAAATTTGCAGTAGGTGAGTTGGGATCCTTGGGGAACATTTTAACTTTGTGATAAATTCTCAATAAACTTTCAATTTAAGGAATGTTCACCTCTATCATGAATACTAACATGCATATATGTGTATGTTCTATGCTACACGAGGTTCATAAATCCAAATTTTAAATATTACATCCTAAACTATTGGTTTGCATATCATGTGTATGTTATATGCTACATCTAAATTTTAAATATTACATCCTAAACTATTCGTTTGAATAATTAACAAAGAGACTATTTTGGATTTTTTTTTCAAACATAAGAGACTAAATGGAATTATTTTGAAATGATAAGAAAATAACTTTTTCTAAAGGACTAAATTAAATCTTGAAAAAACAAGATAAAGGTCAACTCTATAATCTATAATTTAACCTACAATTACATCCTTTCTAAACTCCAAAATCCGAATAAATAAATAAATAAATAAATAAATAAATCCCTCTATTCTAAATCCAAACAAATCCTTTTCATTGTGGATTGTTCTCTGGTGTGCAGGAAAAACACGAACAGCATCATTAAACAAACATCCCATTCAATCGGTGAGTGTCACAAGTCACAACACAAGCCCCGACCAAGTCAAGAACAGAGAAAAAAAAAAACAAAAGAAAACAAATTAGGAATTGAATTCCCGTTGTCTGTAAGAAGAATCACCGGCTTTGGTTTGTCCAGCACATGAGCAGCACCAAAACCCTAACCTCAGATGAAGCAACCTATCACAATCTCCCCCTTTATTAAACAATTGAAATCCCCAAACCCTCTCCCTCCGTTTTCCCCCTTTTCCCACTCACACTAACCCCACTCTCTCTCTCTCTACATTTCCAACAGTGCTATCTGTCGCCTTCAATTGCGACTTTCCACCACTAACCCTCTCTCTCTTCGCTTTCGCATATAAAAATTAGGGCATTTCGGAATGAATCAAATTGGTACTGCCACAGAGGCCGAGCCCCTCGCTCAGTCTCCCCAAGACACTCCCAACGCCTCCGACAAACCCGATTCCGCCGCCGCCGTCGCCGCCGAAGAACAGGACCTCGCGCCCGACGAGAAGCCGCCGCACGACCCACAACCCATGGAGGAAGATCCGGTCAACCCCGCCACCGTTTTCTCCATCAAGCTCAAGCAGCCGAGGTCCAATTTGCTGCACAAAATGAGCGTCCCCGAACTTTGTCGCAATTTTAGGTCAGGGTTTCCGCAATTCAACTCTTTCTGCTTCAATTTTGCTGCATTTGTTGGTCTTCGTTTTTGGAGGCTTGTTTTCTTAGTGTGGTAGTGCTTGATCCTACTTGGATAAGCTTCTCTGTAAGCATTTATAGGAGAAGAAAAATAAGTTGAATTGAACTTTTCTTAGAAGTTGTAGTCAAGTTATGTACTTCAGCTTTCGAAGACCTTAGATGAGAGAGCTTCTGTAGGAGTTATTTCGTAATATGAAGTGCTTACTTGTTGTGTATTGGAATTTGGGAGGTGAAAATGCACGGTTGCTGATGCAGCTTGTGGTCATCCCTTCTGATGATATTTTTCATCCTTATGCCGATGGATGAGAGTATTGTGTCGCAACAATTTCTAAAAGAACGTTTGGCTGACAGTGTACGAGTTTTTCAATGTAAAATTTTGATTCTGGCATGTTTCTTTTGCTCTTCCAATTTTTGATTGTGTGCTACTCCCTGCGAGCTTAGTTCATAAACAGAATTAACTAATTTTTGCACTAATTAAGAAAATTAGTTAACTATTATTTACTTTTTTTAATGTCAATTAAAAATAAGCTTTTTCAATACTTATATAACTTGATATCAATAATAATTAAGAGTGGAAATAAAATCTTAATTAAATAAAGGATTGGAGATGGTATCATTAAATAGGATAAAAATTAGTTAGTATTTGCTTATATTTTGGTCCACCCTTCCTGAGATTTGTTTGTGTGTATTTGAGTCCGGAGGAAGCATTTTAGGCCTTTTATAGCACAATAATTCTGGCACTATCAATATATCTCATTTTCTTTTATTTTGTTTTTTCTGCAGTGCTGTTTCCTGGTGTGGAAAACTGAATGCTATAGCTTGTGCAGCAGAAACATGTGCCAGAATTCCAAGGTTTTTGTCTTTTTATCTTTTTGAACATGATTCCTGTCTGAAAATCTTTGACCACATTCTATATGTTTATTTGAGAACAAATATGTTATACATAAGCTTTTCCAAATGCACTCTTAGTTTAGTTGATTGTGGAGATCTAGATGAAGTACCGAGCAGCGATATTGCAGATATATCCTTTAACATATTTAACAGTGTCTTTAACCTGTTTCAGTAATTGTCTTATATAATAACACTTCCGCACTTGGCCATTTTTCTTATTTGTTGGCTGACAAATTTTGCAATAAAAGACTAGAACAAACCAAGTCAACTAGCACTCCTTTCATGAAGACTCCCAATGCAATAAAAATACTTAAATTATAACACTCCATTATTGAAATAAAATGACAAAAATAACAGGCTTCATAAACCATAGCTTTTAACGAGCTTAAAAAAATAGAAGAAGAAAAAATCTCTACATTTGTTTCAATGATCTGAATTGAATATACTGCAAAATGCAAACTGGCTCATTCAAGTCCTAAGTTAATTTTATTTTGTTTCAAGTCCACATCCAAAGAGGAATCATTCATGTATCAATTGCTCATTTAACTGGTTTGCTGGCACTTGTGTGTTTGTTTTTATCGCCAATTTGTAAATTGTAATGCTTATTAGTGTTTTTCTTTTCTCCATAGTTCAACTGCAAATCCACCATTTTGGATCCCTATACATATTGTGATCCCAGAGAGGCCAACTGAATGTGCAGTTTTCAATGTTATAGCAGGTATTTTGATGTTTTTGCTTCTTTTTGTGACCTTGGATGTGTCATTTTTGCTATATCTAATGCCAAAGCAGCCTGAACAATTGAGGTTTTAGGCTAGTAATTTTTTAAGTTTTTGTGTTTCTAGCATAAGTCTTATACTATTCAACAGTATAATTTGGCTTCAATTAAGAGTAACAATATTTTGATTTAGGATTACACAGATGGAGTTAAGATCTCCGCTTGTTAATGTTCAAAGAAATTCAGAGAGAAAGAGAATAACTAGATTTGAGTCACAAAAAAGTGCTTTCATTCTATTTAACAATAATACAGTGATGGGGATAATATACCCACTGAAAGCAGTTACAACAAAACTAACTTCTTAGACTACTGACCGCTGTTACTTGCCATCTGTCAAGCTAACTTGTAACTAACTAGCACTTTTACCATAGGCTGATCTCTGAGTGCCATTTGGATGTTCTTTTTCACTTCTTTTTTCCAACTGATTTTTTTTTGAAAGTTTAATTAATTGTATTTATACCTTCTGCAGATTCTCCTCGTGATTCTGTCCAGTTCATCGAGTGGTCTCCAATCTCTTGTCCCCGTGCATTACTAATTGCAAATTTCCATGGGAGGGTAACTATTTGGACTCAACCTTCTCAAGTAAGTGGTTTGTCAATCTCATTCCTATGGCTTTGCAATGTATGCGACTGTCTTATATTCAGATATTCTTGGTGCTTTGGTTCCTCTAAAGTGATAAACTGAGAATGTGAGGGTGCATCCACCCTCAATTTAGAGTGGGTACTTATTAACAGCAATGTTGGACACAGTTTTATTCTCTTGCTTTATGCTCTTTCTCACTTTGGAGGTGTTAAATCCTATTTTAGCATATCTTTTAGTTTAGTATATTTGATTGAACATTTGGCCACCTCTACTCTTTCCTGGTTTCTCTATTGCACATATTTGCTTATGTTGTATATTTGTTCCTCTAATATTGTTTGTTCATTCAGGGGCCAGCTAATCTTGTCCGTGATACTAGCTGTTGGCAGCGTGAGCATGAGTGGCGGCAAGACATTGCAGTTGTTACAAAGTGGCTATCAGGGGTGTCTCCGGTATAATGTTAGCTAGTCTTCTGGTGATATGTTCAAATACTTTGTACATTTCTTTTGATGAAGTCTTGTAAACATTTTATTTGTCTAATTTTGCCATTGAACAATTGTAGTTATGTAAGGGATAGGGAATCTCTCTCTCTCTCTCTCTCTCTCTCTATCCCCCCCTTTCCTTTAGTTATTTTCAAACATGGACTTTCAATGATGGAACCTCTAAGCAAATAGTTCAGGATTTGTACCTTATCATATTTCAGTAAGATAGACCATAGTTTCAAATTGTAACATGGATTGTTTTTCTGCAAAATGTACTCAAGCATTGCTTGACAGGCTGTTAGAACCCAAGTCTATTCCATGTATTATTGGGTAGTTCATTTTTAATCTGAATCAATTGCTTTTTGAATTAATAGTATAGGTGGCTTTCATCCAAATCGAGTGCTTCCGCCAATACTAAGTCGACATTTGAGGAAAAGTTTCTTTCGCAGCAATCTCAAACTTCAGGTCAATTATTCTATTTACATTCTTTTCTGTTTTCCTTTTTTCTCTTGGGTACATTTGAAGTACAAACACATGAGTAGGGGGATAGTTCCCCAATCGCTGAGTGTTTTTCCTTCATTTTTTTTTGTTCCACAACAATTTTGTTAATAGCTAGTGGTAATATGTGTGTCCACAAGTACCACCTTTATATTGTTCTCTAATTTTTGCCATTTATTCCCTTGTTTTAGTGACATTGGGGCTAAAATTTCTTTATGAATGCAACACAAGATGAAATTATATCTAAAATTCATATAATCTTTGTTTAGCAATATTTTAATTTTCTTGTTTCATTTATAGTACCATCTCTATTCCATGTATTATCTAAATTCATACAAGTTTCATTTAATGACATTTATGTGTATTATTAATTTTTTTTTCATGTATGTTGGAGCTAAATCATTCATGGTAGGGTAGGGGGATGGGTGGCATGGTGGACGACTAAACCTTTGGCGTCTTAATCACACTCAAGTCATTACCCAACTCCTGAATAATTGAGTCGGTGCCAGTTATTTTGTGTAATATTTGAGTCAGTGCTAGTTAAAAACCCAGTGGATTTTTTTGTTTTATTTATGATGGCTTCTGAAATTACGTCTATTTTTTGGATCATATATGAAAATTCCTCTATTTGGTTGCATATTTGTCATTCATTCATTTTATTTCATTTTTAAATTATCATCGGCTATATGTATTAAATGTACTATGCTTGTGCAGCTGATGCATGCAGTTTTTTTTTTCCAGCTAGATGGCCCAATTTCCTGTGTGTCTGTTCTGTGTTCTCATCAGGCTCAGTTCAACTTCACTGGTCTCAGTGGCCTCCTAGTCAGAGTGGAACAACACCAAAGTGGTTTTGCACTAGTAAAGGACTTTTGGGTTGTGGGCCCAGTGGCATTATGGCTGGTGATGCTATCATAACTGACAGTGGAGCCATGCATGTAGCAGGTGTACCAATTGTTAATCCATCCACCATTGTCGTTTGGGAGGTCACACCTGGGCCTGGAAATGGTTTCCAGGTAGCTCCAAAGACAAGTACCACTTGTGGTGTCCCACCTCTTAGCCCGCCCAACTGGGCTGGTTTTGCACCTTTAGCTGCATATTTATTTAGTTGGCAAGATTATCTATTATCTGAAGCAAAGCAAGGGAAAAAACAGACTGACCAAAACCTTGGTGATGCTGTACCTCTATATTGCTCGCCAGTCTCAAATTTTTCAGCATACGTGAGTCCTGAAGCTGCAGCTCAATCTGCAGCAACCACTACATGGGGTTCTGGAGTAACAGCAGTGGCCTTTGATCCAACTCGTGCCGGTTCGGTGATAGCTGTTGTGATAGTTGAAGGTATGAAGCTGATTTTGCCTTTTTTGGAGTAGTGCTAGTAACACTATCTCTAACACTTCATTTCTAAAACTCCCTACTATTGACTTGAATTTATTGAAAAACACAAATTTTGGTGGTCTCATTTCTCATTTAATGAGTCTCCTGATTTATAAATTAGACTCGCCAAAATTTGTGATTTCCAATAACTTTCAACTAACGGTAAAGCGAGTACTAAAAGGAAAGTGTGCTAGAGAGAGTACTACTAGCACTTCTCGTTTGTTTTACTCAAGCAACTTTGCAATTTGCTCAGTGCTAAGGTGTGACTTCTCTGATAATGAATTTATCCTTTCATTTTCAATCTCTGTTTTGCCTCTTTCCCAATTTGCATTATTTCGCCCCCCTCTCCTCTCTTTAACATTGTAATTTTAATCCAACTTGATTGTGCTTGTTCTTATTACTAAGTCCTGATGAAGTCTGTTTAAAATCTCTGAAGCTGTATCGTGTTTATTCATTTATTGGTGAAAGTGAGGCACCTTGTGCCTCGTCATAAAAAAATAAAAATAAGAATAATGAAATTAAGAAAGTATGTGGATAACTTCAAAATAGTGGAGTAGTTAAACAAAATAGTTAAAGGGTAAAAAGGTAGTCAAACAAATTGAATATATATTGTGATAATGTGTTCAATCCTATGCACAAATGTTTTGATGATGCCAAAGTGATTATAAAGCATTGAAGAAGAATCAAGGTTGAGCTAAAACAAGTTGATGCAAGAACAATATCTCAATTGGTACATAGATAAGTCTTGTCAACTTAGCTAAGTATGTAAAAGAATCTTTTGAAATTGCAAGTATGCTTGGCCTTGAGAATAAGTTTTCAAAAATCTCAAATTAATCTCTTTAAATTTAAACAAGTTTTAAATCTTTTGAAAGTAAGTAAAAATGTTTTCAAAAGACTTAACAAAAGCTTTAAAGAATAGTTCAAATCATTTCTTAAAAGAGATTTGTGAAAGAAATTATTGAGATGAAGTTTTCTACATAAAAGTTTTTGAAACAATAAAAATATGTTCTGGTAATCCATTACCAGACCTTGTAATCCATTACCAGAACAGGAAATTTCAAAGTTCAAATTCTTAATGGATTACCAGAACATATTTTTATTGTTTCAAAAACTTTTATGTAGAAAACTTCATCTCAATAATTTCTTTCACAAATCTCTTTTAAGAAATGATTTGAACTATTCTTTAAAGCTTTTGTTAAGTCTTTTGAAAACATTTTTACTTACTTTCAAAAGATTTAAAACTTGTTTAAATTTAAAGAGATTAATTTGAGATTTTTGAAAACTTATTCTCAAGGCCAAGCATACTTGCAATTTCAAAAGATTCTTTTACATACTTAGCTAAGTTGACAAGATTTATCTATGTACCAATTGAGATCTTGTTCTTGCATCAACTTGCTTTAGCTCAACCTTGATTCTTCTTCAATGCTTTATAATCACTTTGGCATCATCAAAACATTTGTGCATATTTTCTTCCACATTCTCCCCCTTTTTGATGATGACAATTCACTGAAAAGGGAAAAAAAATAAAACAATATATTTCGATCACTCCCCCTTAGTAAAGCATTGATTGAAGTTCCTTTTATTTTATAAAAAGAGTTGTACTTATGTTTTGAAAAAGATTGTAGAGATCAATGTTTATATTTTAAAACATAAGTGTCAAGTTGGGCATCAAGAATATTTTTGTCAAAATATTTTAGTCAAACTTAGCCCAAAGTAATGTTAGAAAAAAAAAAAAAACATTTTCTTTTCCTTTGCGGTCTTATCTCTCCCCCTTTGGCAACATCAAAAAACCAAGTAGAGTAAATGTTTATCTTTTTCCTTTTGTGATCCTTATCCTTTCTCTCCCCCTTTGGCAATCATCAAAAAGAATATAATAACAAAATAATCTAAAGGTAAAGAGCAAGCCAAAAAATTTTCCATTCCAAATTTTGTGTAAATTCATACTATTTTTGCTTTGATAAATTCATGTTGTATCAGCTATAGCTTTTGGCCTAGTGGTAAGCGCTCGATCCAACATAAGGCTTTCCTTTGTTTATATCGTTGTTTTTCTTGATTTATTTTTATTTGGTCTGTCTAACTGCTTTCTTTGTTCCACCCCTCCTCCCCCTACTGCCACAACACAAATGCAAATCTTTACTCTTTAACCTTTATTTTAAAGGTTACGGTTAATTTGACCAAATCTGCTTAGAATAAAAACCTGGGATTTGTAAGTGAAACCCATTTAAATATCCTTAAATTGTGGTTAAAGCCATATGATGTCACTTAAAATGTAATTAATTTGGTGTGAAACAGAATTAGTGCCCCCCAATTAACAAGGAAAAAAAAATGTTTATCAGATGACTGATAATGGACTGGATAAAGAATTATCAAGTTCTTCCCTTATAGCAGTGCTTCCAATGTTGCACTGTGACAACTGACAAGCACCCAACCCAAGCACTTGGGGAATCCTTCCTTAAGCTAGTTGTCAAGGGGGGAGAACCAAGCCACTTACGTACTCCACTGAGCATCCTATACTACTTGATGTGGGGCTTACTTCATAATACCTATTACCTAAGTCCCTGTCCCAGCAGTTGCACTTGATGATGCTTCACTCAACCTTAACCTTTTTAGTCAGTCTCTCTGTAGGGGTAGCCCTTTCTAAGATACTGACAATCAACTTTGATACCAATTGATAAGAACCTTGGGAGAACCAATAAAACTCCATATTAGAATCCCATACTTCCAAGCCCCATACCTTGCAATTGGATCCTAACACAATATTCATCCTTGCGCAAGCTTAACATCGTTAGGTAAGATCCATTAAAATAGAAGCACCCTGTAAGTGTCTTGCCTTCTTACTCCTCTATGTTGTGACAATACTGGATGTGATGCAAGTTTGTCAGGATTTTATACCAGATGTTTCATGTGCTTGTGCTCAGATAATTGAACTAAGAAATTGATATATAGCTGATTTTACCTTTACAGGACAGTATATGTCCCCTTATGATCCAGATGAGGGCCCATCAATTACAGGGTGGAGAGTGCAACGGTGGGAATCATCTTTACAGCATGTTGTTCTCCATCCTATATTCAGAAACCCTACTTCAAGTATGGGTGGACAACCGCCTATGCAAACTGTTTGGCAGTCCAAAGTGGACCTGAGTATACCTCCAACAAATGATTTTAAGAACCATCAATCACCTGCAATTGGAATGGCTGCTGATATGCAAAAGGCATCTGAGTCTGTTTCTGATAAATCAAAAAGGGTCAATTTTGATCCATTTGATCTCCCAAGTGATGTCAGGACACTTGCCCGAGTTGTTTACTCTGCTCATGGTGGTGAAATTGCCATTGCTTTTCTTCGAGGTGGTGTCCATGTCTTCTCTGGTCCAAATTTTACTCCTGTAGACAACTATCAAATTAATGTTGGATCTGCAATTGCTGCTCCCGCTTTTTCTTCAACAAGCTGCTGTTCAGCTTCTGTTTGGCATGATTCTAGCAAAAATTGTACAATATTGAGAATAATTCGGGTTCTTCCTCCATCTATTCCCATTAGTCAAGTAAAGGCCAATTCATCGACTTGGGAACGGGCAATTGCTGAAAGGTGATTTCTTTGGTCTCTCCTAGTATGTGATATATTAACTGTTTCTCAGTATTCCCATAAATTTGTAGTTGTTTCCATTTATTTGTTAACTGTCTGGTAGTAGAAGTTTCTTTTGTCAATGATTTACATGGCTTGCATGGTGTTAACAACTGTTAGTAAAATAGGTTTTGGTGGAGCCTTTTAGTTGGGGTTGATTGGTGGGATGCTGTGGGCTGTACACAGAGTGCTGCCGAAGATGGTATTGGTAAGGCAGTTCTTGTTGTCAAGTCCTTTGGCTATTTTTATTTTATGTTCAAGTTTGTGCCATAGAAAATAGAATGTGATTTCCTGTTTCATGTTTGTACTCTGCTAGAAAGCATTTGCATAATATTCTGTGGTATTAGTGCTGTATATTAACAAATGACACTCTTTTTTCCCTGGTTTCAGTTTCACTTAATAGTGTAATTGCAGTCTTGGATGCGGATTTCCATTCTCTCCCTTCTGTTCAGCACAGGCAACAGTATGGTCCTGTATGTTACTGTTGAACTATCATCTTTTCAGCATTTTGTCATTGGCTTCCATAATTTAGTTCAATTTGCTCTTTAACTTCTTCATTCTTACCTCCAGAGGGGTCTCATTCCTTTTCAAATAACTGTGGTGAGAGTAAATTGTTCCATATTAACTGTGGGTGCTATGTTTTGTGGATTTAACAAACTTTTTGGAACCAGCAGCGAAAGCTTGCTATTGACAACTTTGTATTTCATGTTGAAGCTTCTACTTTTTTCATTAGGCATAACCTATATATGTATTGATCATACTCAATAACTTGTGGATGAGAAAATGCTCAATTTGGTGTTGAAATTTTCGTAGTTAACATTTGATCTGAGGTCAGTTCACTGCTATAAATTTGAATTTTTGATTGTCCTTGTGGATTTCAGTCTGAATATGATTTTAAACTTCCTTAAAATTGCTAATGATCACTGTTCAACCAATTTTGTGCCTTCCTTTAGCCATGTCTTTCAGATGAGAATTATTATTATTTATTATTAGTTATATTTTTATAATTTAAACAATATTGACTTCTGTTTGTCTTTTGACTTATTTCTGTTCATTGTTGTATTTTAAGCCTGGTATGTGATAGTGTCTGTGTTGCTAATTTTTTGGCTAAATGAATTTGGTTCTAAATGATTGCAGAGTCTAGACAGGATAAAATGTAGGTTGCTAGAAGGATCAAATGCCCAAGAGGTAAGGGCGATGGTCCTGGATATGCAAGCTAGGCTGTTGTTGGATATGCTTGGGAAAGGAATTGAGTCTGCATTGATAAATTCTTCAGCTTTAGTTCCTGAGCTTTGGCAAGCATCTGCTGAAACATTATCCAGCATTGACCCTGAATCAATGGCTGTTGAACCTGCACTAATTCCTAGTATTCAGGTCTGCTTTGGTTACAGTTTGGAATTTGCTTACCTAATTTTGCTTGATCAGAATATATGAAATGTAATTTGTTTGTGGTTCTCTGCTTGTTTTTCTGCATACATCTCATCTTTGCTATGTTTGGTCTTTACCATAGCATAGTTGTCTATCTTGGATATCAGTGCTGAGTGACCGACCCTAAAAACCATATAGTGGGATTGCTGCTATACCAAGATAATGAAAATAATATGTAGTTTGCACTACACAAAAATGCTCAAAAATAAAAAATACTCAAAATTAAAGTCATATCATTATTAATAAGAGGAGTGCTAGCAAGAGAGAGTCATTGGTTAAAATTTATGGAAAATTACAAAATCAAGAGAGTCATTCAATAGGATGTGGGACCCACCAAATTGTGTTTTCCAATAAATTTTAACCAATTAGTGTATGTTTAAAATAGTGTGTTGCTAGCATTTATCTTATTAATAATGGAAACAACAACCCTAATTACCATCTCTATATCTGGTTTACTTGTAAGTTTTACTTGGTATGCCTTATATACTGCTTTTGGGCAACCCTCTCAACAATGAAGAGATCCATTCAATTATAAAGTCATAGTCTAGACATACAATCACCATCAATATGAGACATAATTATCAAGTCAATAATCATGAGAAGCAAAGGTGGCAAACGGATAGATCGAATAATTTTTTAGTTGGATTATAATGGATTGGATAAAAACAATCCATGAATTCATTGGATCCATTAAAATTTCATTTAAAATAATTCAATCCATCTGATCCAATAATTTTTTTTATCCAATCTGTCCATTAACATATTTTTTATGGATGAATATTTGATCCATAAAGAAAATTAATGTTTTAAAAATTAAATATTTTATTTTTGAAATATCCTCTTTCTCTCACTCCTATATCTTTATTTGGGCTATCCACAAAATTAGTATTGCCCACAACATTTATGTTTGTTGCAAATTTAACATGCTCCTTATGTGGTGATCGTTCATCCTCCAATGAAAGTGAGATTTCATATAATTTTGGCAACAAGAAATTAAAATACTAATTATTAAAAAATTGTTTTAACCTTAATTCTTTTTTATCAAAATCCAAACCTTTATCATTTTTTGTTATTTTTTTATTCACTTGTAACTTTGAATATTTGCTAAAAATCTATGAAATCCTTTCAAATCTTATAAATTCAGTCTTTTTAAATCTTATAATTTTCTATGATATAAATCCATTAAAATATAAACTACAAAATCTTGATTAAAAAAATCTTATAAGTTATTATATTTTTATGTAGTCTTTTAAAATCCACAAGACCTCTTTTTTGCCACCTCTAATGAGAAGTGAATGAAGCTGGGACTGAGATTGAGGTGGTGCTCTCTTGGGTTAATTGTGACTGAGATGATGCCATCGTAGCACTGAAAAAGGGTTGGAATTAATTGTCAGCAGCAAATAGGGGCAGAACTGAGGATGTGTTTCACAGAAAAAAAAAAGGATGGTGATAGGAACTGAAATCTACTGTAGAATTGAATGGGAAATTCAAGGCACTAACCTTGATTGCAGTTACCTGTGTTTTGACCTCTATTCCTTCACGCATTATAGGACTATCTTTTATCTCTATTCAGTTCTTTCTTCTTCCTTTAGACTTCCCACCTACTTCACGTTCTGCTAATTTTTCATTACTCTAATTTGCTATGCTCTTTTTCTATTAATTTCACCATCATCTTTCATTGTTTGACCTTTTACTATGTTCTTATTGGTTCTAGATTGATGGTGATTGTGTGTAAACTGCAACTTATTTATAACAAATTCTTTAATTTTTGATTTAGGGTTTAGGGTTTTCTACTCATAACAGCCATAATTATATTCAAGCATTTGTTTTCTACTCATAACAGCCATAATTGCCCCTAACTATTGTTTTCTGTCAATTTAATCATCTGTTAACCATAGCACCCGTGATGTCTGCAATAGTAAAATATGTCTGGTATCTGCCCACAAATCAAGCTGCTATCACCACCCCGCAAAAAGGTTGACTCAATCCACTTCTGTTGCAGCCACGTGCTACTATAACATGCTGTTAGTTACTTGTGCAATTATGTTTTCATGTACGAGCATGGAGATGCTTGCATATAATTATGCCTTTTGTTAATAAAGATGCTTGTCATCCTGTATATGTCATAATATTATTAAATCCCTTGGAGGTTTTTCTTTGGCTTGCTTGTTTCATGAGTTATTCTTTGATATTTTTATACATTTGATAATATTTATTTCTACGATTTCCTGTTTCTTAATTGTTTTGATCTTTGCAGGCTTATGTGGATGCAGTTCTTGATTTGGCTTCACATTTTATTACTCGATTGCGACGTTATGCAAGTTTCTGTCGCACATTGGCAAGTCATGCTGTGACTGCAGGCACTGGAAGCAACCGTAATATGGTTGCTAGTCCTACCCAAAGTTCAGCAACACCTGCAACAAGTCAGGGTAAGTATGCACTGATCAAATGTCATTTTTTGTGTTTTATTAATCTGAAGATCCATTAGTCTATTTGAAATTTTAAATTATTCCCTATAATTTAAAAACTATGAATGGCTCCTGAAGGTTAAAAAACTTTTCTTAATGGTGGGTCCTTAAGTCAGTCCTCTGAAAAGGTTTTTGAATCTATAGGGACTAATAATTTTTAAGGTTCTATTTAAAAATTCATCATGTTAATTCAACTTTTTTTATTTTTATTTTTTATTTTTATGATAGATGGTTCTTATATATAGCTTGCTTTATCAAATAACATGCCTACATATGGTTATCCTGTGGCACTAGGATGCTTGTTGAATAAACTTTTAAGAAGGGAGGGAAAAAACACTTTTTTGATAAACCTTTGGGTTACTGTTTACTTGACCCTTTGGAATCTTGGCTAGGCAAGAGTGCTCAGTCCAGAGCATTTGGAGTAACCTATCCTTACTACTATTTAATTAACTGATGTTTTTTGATAGATCCATACTTGTAATTTTTAAGTTGGTTAAATCTGGTGTTATTATGAATCTACTTTAGAAGTGTTGAATTTATGGGGATTTTGATATTTAGGGAGGAAAGGGGGAGAGTATAAACTATTTGCAGTGTATTAATGCAATCTGAGGGGATAAAACAGAGTTAGGTCAGTTAGTAGTTATTTTAGTAATTTGTTAGTCAAAGAAATACAAGGAGTTATGTTGGAAAGAAGGGCAATGGGCTTGCAATTGATTAAGGCCCATTAAGGGTGTGTTTATGTTAGCAGACCAGTAGCTGTCTGTAAATAGGGGCTTTTACTTTCTGCACCTTCCAAAATATTAAATTTCCAAAAATGTCCCTAAGTTCTATTCCCTTCCCCTCCTGAATGTTAAAGTGTGTTTCAGAACACCCAATTTGGAATGTTAAATGTGTTCTGGAGCACCCATTCCAAAATGTTAAAAATGTGTTCAAGAACACTTGATCTAGAATGAGAAAATGTGTTCTGGAAAACCTAATCTGAAAACTAAAAAATGTGTTCCGGAAAAGAAATGCCCTATACCTCTTCTTTTTCCACCAATTGTGCTTGCGACATGGCATTAGCCGTGTCCACCCACATGACAAGAAAGCACTTCTCCAACTCCAGAAAGCCCAATCTGGAACACTTTTTTAACTTTCTGGATTGGGTGTTCTAGAACACATTTTCTCGTTCCATATTGGGTGTTCCAGAGTACATGTAACATTTCAGATTGGATGTTTTGGAACACATTTTTAACTTTCCAGATCGAGTGTTCTGAAACATATTTTTACATTCGGGAAGGGGAAGGTAATAAGTTTTACAGGTAGTTTTGGAACTTATCTGGAAGGGTGCAGGAAGTAAAAGCCATAAATAGTTACACGGGTTGAGAGGGATTTTATCTAGTCTATTTGTGAGAGAATTGGGGCTTTGGGCATTGGAAGATGCAGATTATCAAAATTCTGCAGATTAAACTGTTTTCTTTTCTTTGTGTAATCTTGATCCAGTTTCTATCAAGAAGTCAAAAACACTAATTCATTTATACTTGGACTGGATTCTTAACTCTAATTGACTACAGAAACAAATATAGAATATAACAAAATGGAAAGTATTCTTTAAATGAGTAATAACTAACATATACATATGAATCTTACTACTTGGATACACGGTTAACTATATGTGTAAATATGATAACTTCGCTTCACAAGAGATCAAGAGTAAATGAACTTGATTGTATACAACTATGGACATGTGGTTAATATTAACTTGATATTTTAGTTTTGTCTAGCATCAAATGGAAACTATTTAATTGATGTGTTTATTGTTTATATTTTAAGTACTGTTTAATATCTTTTTATCATAAATCTTTTATAAAACATGATAAATAAAATCTGTTATAGTTTTTCAAATACAAATATTTAATTAATATATAATAAATTTAAGAGCAGAATATTTATTATAAACTCTAATATATAATAATTTAAATAGCAGAATATTTATTATAATTTTTAATATTATTCTATTATACCAAATTTTAACAAAACTGGGGCATTTCATGCTCTGCTAGATGCCTAGACCTTTGTTTTTTAGTTAGTGATCATGAATATGTGGTTTAATATCTTTGTTATTTGCATGTGCTATGTTCTGTTGTTGATCACGAATCTTATGATTCAATGTATGATTTGATTTGCGATTTGATAAATGAGCCTTTTGATTCACTATTTGAATCCCAATTCTACTATGATGCCCTAAAATGGTTTAATCATTTTTTTACCACTAGTTTGATTTTAAATGTTTGTTTTACAATTTACATATCAAACTGAAATAAAAATTATTTTCAGGAGGTCAAAATGGGACCAGCAGCTCTATGGGCAGCACCCAGTTGCAAACCTGGGTGCAAGGAGCTATAGCCAAGATTAGCAACACAAGTGATGGAGGAGCCAATCCAACTCCTAATCCCATCAGTGGCCCCTCCACATTTATGCCTATTAGCATTAATACCGGAACATTTCCTGGAACACCAGCAGTTAGACTTATTGGGGACTGTCATTTCCTTCACAGACTATGCCAACTTTTGCTCTTTTGCTTTTTCTTTAGACGAACTCAACATCCTCGTTATATGGGGGTTGCAAATAGAACTGCTGATACAAATATACAAAAGCCTCAATCTAATGCTCCTGCTCCTGGCAAGGTGGAGGATATTGGAAAACCAGTTTCTGCTGTGGTTAAGTCAGATGATGGTCAGGCAGGTCGAGCTGGTGTAAAAGGAGCTGAAGAAGTACCATCTGGGCGTTCAAGATTGGGTAGTGGGAATGCTGGCCAGGGATATATGTTTGATGAGGTATACATTAATAAATGTTGCAACTTGTTTGAAGTATCCTTTATTTTTTGTTTGTAATTTGTATTCTACATTAGTGTTTTCAAACTTTTGCCAATTCTTTATTTTTCTTAGGGAAGTTACAAAGTAGGTTGTTATTTTACTTTTCTCATTGTGCTTATAATGCAGGTCAAGGTGCTTTTTATGATGCTTATAGATCTATGCCGCCGAACAGCTGGGTTGCAACACCCATTGCCAGTTTCTCAAGTGGGGAGCAGCAACATTCAAGTTCGGTTACATTATATTGATGGAAACTATACTGTACTGCCAGAGGTTGTGGAAGCTTCCCTTGGTCCACATATGCAGGTAACTTCATGGTTTTCTGTTTCTTTTAAATTTCTTATTCCTGGGAGACAAGTTAAGCTTATTATACTTATTATTTTATAAAATTGACTCAAGCTTTTTATGCTACTGAATGATTGGCTTTGACTATATAAAAGTTAATAATTAAGTACTGTTGGAAAGTGACTTGGTTGCCTTCCTTTATACAGCAAAATTCTACTACTGAATTAGTGATGTGATAACAGCTTGTTAGATTATGTAATACTACTGTTAATTATTGGAAGTTAAGCTTTTGTTATTTTACTCTGTTTTTATTTCTTTTTGGGTGTGTAACCTTTCTGTAAATGCTCCCTGGCAAAAAAATGTAATTTGCAGAATATGCCCCGTCCCAGAGGTGCCGATGCTGCTGGTCTTCTTCTACGTGAACTAGAACTCCACCCTCCAGCTGAAGAGTGGCATAGACGAAATATGTTTGGTGGACCTTGGTCGGATCCGGAGGATGTGGATTTTGCAAATGATGCACCTAAACTTGTTAATTCTGACCCTCTTGATTTCAGCCCATTGGAGCATTGTGATGTCTACTATGGAACTCAACGTTTATGGCCAAAGAAGCGCAGAATGTCTGAAAGAGATGCAGCTTTTGGGTTGAACACTTCTGTGGGCTTGGGAGGTTATCTTGGAATAATGGGATCTCGAAGAGACGTTGTTACTGCAACATGGAAGACTGGCCTTGAAGGAGTCTGGTACAAGGTGGGAAAAGAAATCTTGTTTATTTATTTATTTTGTTTCCTGTCATTATGTGCATGACACGTTAAAGGTTGATAACAGTATTATAATCAGCGAGAATGTGAAATCTGAAAGTGAAATTGTATTTTCTCGGTTCTCAATGAGATAACATTTGTATGCAAAAAGCAAGACTCTGAGAAGAGTCTCAAGCAAGCTACTCTAGGTGCTGACTCAGCACACATACAACAGAAAAATAACTAAGCTAACTGAGTGAGAAAAAGATTGTCTGTTACAGAGACTAAAGTAATATTTATACACTAAAAACTGAACAGAGATAGGCGCAGAAACTGTATCTCTAACACTCCCTCCAAAAACTTAGGATGATTGATAATGATCCTGATTGTCTCAAGAAAAATAATAGGGTATTGGGTAATGATCTCAATGCTTGTGCTTTTATGTATTGTTCTACCTGATCACTCAGTTTTTTTTAATTTTTTTTTTTAAATATGAGTGCATGATTCTTCCTCAATTTTGTAATTTTGTTTGCTTCTGTGGTGCAGTGTGTAAGATGTCAGCGGCAGACTTCTGCTTTTGCTTCACCAGATGCTGCTGCTTCTCCCGATCAGAATGAGCGGGAGATATGGTGGATCAGCCGCTGGGCATATGGCTGCCCAATGTGTGGCGGAACATGGGCTCGGGTTGTATAAATGTCTTCAATGTTATTTGAAGTTTCACTTTACGTAAAGGGAGGCATGGCTATATTAATGGCTAACAGTGAAATGAATCAGATGAATTGCTGACTGAAGTTGTACAGGAGGTGTAGATTTGCTTGATAAGGTGGTTGTTGGCATGTTGTTATCATTGGTGACCATACTATCCGGGATTTGAGTTTTTTTCCTTCTGATTACCCTGCTGGTTTTCTATTTTTTTTTTGAAAATCAGTTTCAGATATCAATTTTTTGGAGTAATTATTGTCAAGTCACTCCACAAACAGTAATGGTTAATTTATCCATAGAGTGCTTGTAGTTAACTCCTTGCAGGTATGTAATATCTCATTTGGACTTCTCTACTTTTAAAATAACTCGAGTGCATACCATCATGAAGGTATTATGTGCATGACATGTAAAAAGTTGAACAATATTCTTATTTCTTAGTTGACTATGGTTCATGATAAACCATTTTTAAAAATACACAGATAATACTTGTATTCCGTCCTTTCTGTTAAAATATTAAAATTTTAAAATTTAGTGTCAGCATTGTCGACAGTGGACCATGTTCATTCTAGAGGCGCTTCTTCATTCTTTGATCATTTACAAGATAGCTTGCTTGATATTAGATGCACAGTTGCCGAGTTACAAATTAAATTTCTACTAACATGTAAATGCATGAAAAATCAGATGGAGGATTGTTGTGGAATTAACTTCTGTCTTGCAACATTCTCCTTAGTCCTTACAAATAACAATGGCTTTTATAAACTATTCATTTGATAATACAGATTGTGAATCTGCTTGCTGTTTCGTGATGTGGCTGTAACAATGAGTGAGAAGTTGCTGTTGGGGAATCAGAGATTAGGAGCCTATATTAGTTGTCACTCTTTAATCCCCGAGAAATCTCTGCAACTGTCTTCACCATGACATCTCGGCGTTATGGAGCAGGTGGCAAGCAATACAAGCCATGTAATTGTTAGATTAGGTTAGCATCTTATTAGCTTCTCTGTAAATTGATGAAACATTTTATTTTATTTTATCGGGGTACATCGTAAGAAGATATGATTCAATGTACTGGACTGGCCTATATTTTTTAATTAGGGTTAGGGTTAGGGGTCTCCTTTAACATTATGCAGTTTTAGTAAAGCCTAACCTCGTACAGAACTAAACATGATGTTACTCGTCTTATAAATGCTTATTGCCTTCTTCAAGCCAAACATTATTCACTTTTTTACGTGGTTCAACATTTTGTAAAATTACTTCACACATTTTTAGCTTTATACATTAATATTTTCTTAATAGTACATTTCTTTGTTGATTGAACTGAATTTTAGTTATTCTAAAAGTTTAATTGAATACCTGTAAAAAAAAAATCGAATAAAGACAGTAGACAACAGATATATTATGGTGGTAATAAACTCTTCTCAACATTTATTTTTTTCACAAGCTTGTTGTCAAATTCCTTGCCGTTTGATCCAAACATCAGCATTTAGCAATGGACACTGCTCCCGATACATTAGTTTTTTTAGTAGATGAAAAATAATAATGAGTATGTGTTAATAGATGAAAAGTGATAAAGAAAATTTATTGGTTTATACATAAGTTCAAAATATTTTTTTATGAAATAAATTTTTTTTCTTATTTTTTATTCCTTTTATAAGTGTTTATAAAGTTTATTCAAACTAGTCTGACTAGAATTACAGAAACAGAAACGCACAATAACCCCAAAACAAGTCTGACGAGAATGTTCAAACTTCTTTTGAATTGTATATTTGATATTTGATGCATGTTTCTTTCGACGCAAAAAAATGTTCAATATTTCGAATTCGTTTGTTAATCTTTTTTTTTTTTTTTTTTTTTTTTTTTTTTTTTT